TCATTGGGGACCAAATTTGAAGTAGAGTAGATCAGGAGGATCATCTAACCCTACTAAACACTACTCTACTTCGAGTTTGTGCCCCGAAAATGGGCGTCAGAGTCGTCACGATCTTCGCCACGCGTTCTCGGACGCAAGTAATGCACGTCTCCTCATAAAGTGGGCGAAGAGTTAGTACGTTTCTGTGATTGGTGCACGGGCAGTGATGCCCAATCACAGGCTATCCTCACACACACACCTAGTTCGCAGTTGCATTACGAATTGAAAACTAAGTGTTTTTAAGAATTACAAGTAAGCAGCTTCGAAAAGCAATGCGAGACACGCACTTATTGATTGATACCTATTGATCTCATGTATGAGAAAACGTTCTCAACAACTATACTTTTCGCAGCCATTGTAGTGTGTGTAGTGTGTAGTGTGTAGTGTGTAGTGTGTAGTGGGTAACGAAAGTAAAGGATCAAATCTAATGAGCGGCATAACATGTAATCCTATCCGTTCCCTGCACCTTTTTTCGTGTGCTATGTGAGTGGCAGGTGTTCCACCTTTCATGATCGCATATACATAAATGTGGCGGCTGTTGACGACAGCAATCAGAAATATAAGTAATGTACTATAGTATCTGGTAATATTTTGGTATTTATTGGTGCTCGATTGGCATTTTGGTGTGGGAAGGGGAAAGAAGCGGGAGATTCCTGTTACGACAAGGCCTCCTAAATGATTGGAAGCTGGGTGGGCATTACCGGTTTACTTCACATCGATCATTTTCTTGATTATTTCTGAGAATCAGCTCGATGCTAAGACATCACATATGACTTTAAATACTGCGTAAAAATAAAATGCAGGATCATTGAGATCATTTCATCACCCATATGGGTGAAAAAAAGTGGCACCCAAGTGTTCAACCGAACGGCTGTGAGCGATGAGAACACCCAAAGAGCTTGGGCACCAAAAAATTTCTGTCAGATGTCCTTTCTAAAGATGCCAAATCTTCCATCAAATAATTCTGGTCTGTGGATCTACCACGAAGAGGCGTAGGTGCAGATATGATGTTTTCTGCTGAAAGTAATATGTCAAGTAACAACGATTTGTTACAGCAAGCATGGCTCCTGCTGTAACATGCATTCATCCGATGGTTATTCTGTGACCGGGGTAATTCAATGGTGACCTCTAGAGATCGGGGATTTTCGGGCTATTGTTATGTGAAAAACTTCTTGAACGAGTTTTGTATCCCATTGTTCAGATGCTCACTTTAACAAATTGTATATGGTGGTCAGTGAAGATTTCATAGTTCAAAAATACTTGAGATCAGTGAGGATTGCTCCGTGAAACCTTAATTTTTCTACAAAGAACAGCTGTGCTATGATTCTAGGACTATGTCGAGAAGCTACTTGTGTCAATAACGTCTGTTCAGACAGACTGGTAGCAGATGGTAGATTGAGTACATCGTCGGTACGAACAGAACACTGGCCCATCGTCATTAGCTGAGAAACTGCTGAAGTTTGACGATGACTGAGGAGCTCCAGCCAACAACAGCTGCGGATTATGCACTCAGGTGCATGATTTAACCAGCTAGAAGCGGAGGAATGACAAAAGAAAAGGAGGACCACAGTAAATGTAGAAATACTATCAGATAAGGGATCTCCTGACGCAATTAACGGGAATCGAGCGAGCGATCGCGATGCGGTTCCTATACTAAGGGCAATGAACAGTTTTTACTGGGCTTCTACTTTTTTGGAAGCTTCGCGAAAGCTTCTAGAGTCATTGGTGAGCCGAAGGCGACAAGTTGGTTTTAGGCAGCTCTTTAAAACTAAAAACCAACTTTGTTCTAGAACTGCGAAACTTCTGAGCAGATTTTCAGCCATGCCGATGCTTAGAAGGGGTATATGTGCTTTTGGCCAAGTGGCATCAGAAACCAGCTTAATCTGAGCAATCTTGAAACGACCTTCTGAGATATGCAGGAAATCACTGTTCCGCAGCTATGAAAACGCCGAGAATTTGCTTTTGAGAATGTATTGGGTCAGGTGGGCTTTCTTTTTTTGATGGGATGGTCAGGTGTCAAGGGAGGAGCAATTGTAAATCATTAAGTAGTTAATTCGTACAAGCAAAACAATAACATCTCGTGTCATGGCGATTCCGGAGTAATCCTAGGATCAACATTTTTACAACATGCACGCAGTGATCGAAAGTTCCCGGTTCCATTCTGGGAACATCCTCCCACGAGATCATTAAGCTTGTCATGTGGAAGAGGAAAAAAGAAGTGAACTGTGGATTGGCTACAATAGAAATTTTTGTTACTGTAGTTGACAGTGAGTGTTGTACAGTAATACGTATACAGGTCTGAGGATCTAATACCAGAAAGACATTTACCTAATCAACCATTCTTCGGAGTTTGGATAACTGGTAACAGACTCGTCTGGGAGGATAAAAGTGTTGACTTGTACATCCACCGGCTACGGCAAGTCACTGTATTTGCCGCATAGGCATCAAATCGTCGCCAAGATTCCGATTGGAAGTCGAATGCAGGGCGCATTCCAAAACGGTACTGTGTAGTGCCAGCAAAGCATTACATATCGCTATCTTTCATTTGAATACTATTTTGTCAAAATGTCAATTACCTTAATGGATTTCTCTCCATATCGGCTCTTCAACCACCTTGACGGCTGTTCTAGCGCCGAGGGATAATTGTTCGGGGCGACCGGCCTAGAGTGCTGAAAACATTTGTCTACGTTTTAAAAACAATACTATTCCAGTAAACACGTCTAGCAGTAAAATAATACATAAATGTTACATCGTGATGTTGTTCTGAGCAGTTTCTAAGTTTTGTGCCGCCTATTCGTTCAGCATTACAGCGTTTTCGTGCCGCCAACGCTCTCTTCCTGGATATTTTGAGAGGTTGGACTCCGCCCGTCCAGCAGTTCTCTCAGCTATTTTACAGGCCCCGCGGCAACAAACACCTCAGTGCACCGATTACCAGCCAACCCAGACGTCCACCAATGAATTCTGCTCTCCAGCTTTACCTACCCGAACCTTAACTTACTGGCTTCTACGGCTATCGTCTTCTGTCATTCATTTAGCCAAATTGCTGTCATCTAAATGCCGTTACTTAAGTATTCACGTATTCCATGGATACTCTTTGTTAATTTTGCTCTCCAAAGCAATTCTCTACAATAACTCTCAGTTCAGAGCAACCTTCTTGATCCTTGACTGTCGCTAATTTGTGCATTGGTGTATCCTTTTCCGTAAGTGTAATTAAGTTTGATTCCAGGCAACATGTCTGACGAGGAAGAGCAGTAGTAAGTGGAAATGACAAACTGTTAAAAACTAGTAGTTATTTTCCATATTCCATTGTCTACAATCTAACGTATTCAGCTCTGGCGAGGAAGAGGCCGAGGAAGAGGAGCAGCCTGAGGCAGCCGAAGAAGATGCTGTAGAAGAGGAGAAGTGAGCGTGATGTGAACCCTATAGACATGATAGTAGTCCTAGAACTAATCGGGTGTGGTTTCCGTCCATTTAACAGACTCTCCCTTTTGCCTTTCCCCTATTTCCGTTTTCGTGCCATCCCCTTTGGATTACATATGAATCAACATTAAACGTATATATTAAAAGGGGAGAAGAGGCCAAAGACGAAACATCATCAGAACCAGTAGACGCTGACGAAAGCCAAAAGTGAGTTGAAGATTACTTGAAAAGAGGCTTAGCTATCACAGCACTGGCTCATCAAATCAGTCGCGGTATCGCCCCCAATTGATTTGGTAACTAGTACTTACCTAAAGGAAAAAAGTCAAACTCGATGTATGTTTGAAGGGTGCGACAATATCGATTTTCTAGACCAAAAGCCCCAAGACCTCCTCAGCAGCAACAGGAAGAGAAACCACCAGCAGAGATGACTGAAGCCGAGGCAGCAATGATGGTTCGTTGGTAACTGTAGAGTCTGTCCTTCAGGTAGAAGGATTGATTCGGTGTTTCAGGCAGCAAAGAAGCGTCACGAAGAGGAAGAGGCTGCCAAGCTTCTGGATTACGAACAACGACGACAGCTTGAGAAGGAGCGTATTGAGAACGAGCTGCGTGAGCTAAAGGAGAAACAGGAAAAACGACGTGCAGAACGAGAAGCCGAAGAGAAAGAGTTTGCCGAAAGACGCCGACAGGATGAAGAACGACGTCGTAAGGAAGAAGTACGTCCCGTAAACTTTCCCATCAGATCGATAAGCATTTGAAATATGTCAGTGGAGTGGTTGTTTTTTTGATGGTAATCGATCGTTTTCAGGAAGAGCGAAAGAGCAGAGCAGACGCTGAGAAGGCACGTAAAAACGAGGAAAAGTCCCGTCGCCAACAAATGATGGCTGGCTCGTTTGCCGGTCATGCGTCAGGCAGTGAAGGACGCAATTTCAAGATAAACCCCAAAGGAGAACAGGCAGCTCAGTTCGGCAATCTGGCACAAGTAAGCGGGCTACTGCAGTAAATGTAGTGGCGCTAGTTCAAACTTACATTTAGTTTTTGGAACTTGCTCGCTTAGTAACAGCTCGCTATGTCCAGGCCCACTTTTGGCTCACTACCAGTAGTCCTAGAATCAATATAGGACCTCAACTTGACTCATTTAATTAATAGAATAGAGGAAATGCGAACTGGTCGAACTGGTTACCCCCATAAGGAAGATCATGACAGCAGAAGGGCAAGGTTCGGATGAGACTACTACCTCCTACCATATTTATTTAATTCTTGAGAAATGGGGTCATAATATATCTCCAGCATTCATTACTTCATAGATTAACTACCAGTAACTAACTCTCGGCCTAGTCCTCGTGAGAATAGCCATGTGATGAGCACACTAGCATGCTGTTCAATCTAGGGACCAAAAACGGATAATCAGTCGAAGGAACAACAAGAAGAAGCAAAGCAGGCTTTCTTGGCAATCGTTTGTCGTTCGGTGGATATATCGTCGTTGCTTCCAAACGATCTCAAAGAACGAATCAAACAGTTACATAACCGTATCTGTAAATTGGAGGCCGATAAGTACGATCTGGAGAAGCGTCATGAACGTCAGGAGTATGATGTGAGATTTGGTGAAATCGGTTTCATCCATAATCAATCAATGAAGTAATTATTGATCCAGATGAAAGAGTTGCACGAACGCCAACGCCAAGTTGCCAGAAACAAGGCGCTCAAGAAGGGACTTGATCCCGAAGAAGCTGCTTCATCGCAACATCCTCCGAAGATTACGACTGCCTCCAAATTCGATCGTCAGATCGATAGAAGGTCTGAAACCGAAGCATCTCATTTTTCCCCCTGCCTATATACCCTGTCAAGACATTTTTCTTCATTGATGAGGTTTTCAGATCATATGGTGACCGCCGAGAGCTGTTTGAGCACCCAGTCGTCAAGAAGCCACCAACCATTGCTCGAGGTACCGCTAGACCTCCACCAGAATGGGGCAGAAAGGAAAACGAAGAGCTTGAGCAGCTGAGGTAAGCTTAGTAGAACAAGCAACATTGAAGTTGTATTTAATGGATTATTTTAGAAAGAATCTCGAACCTCCCAAATACGTTGAACAAGTGAAGGCCGAAGGAGATGCAGCTCGTCCACCTGTCCAGGCAATTCCCTTGCAACTGCCCGACAAAGACTTCGAAGACGAGCCAGCCGAAGAACCTGTATGATAAATTACTTCATATAAAAATCTAACATTCAGATGCTTATGCTTCATATTACAGAAGGCTCCGGAGGCTGGCGAGGCCCCTGCTGGAAAAGCTGCAGCTTAAATCATTGATGTGGCTAAACTCATTCTTGAGTCCTATATGAAATCGTTATATAACAGTACAATTGTGAATTTGTTCTGCTTCTCCTCTGCTTCAGATTGTACTAACTTACTACGATGGAGACAAGTTATGTTTGTCTTCTGGCGAGGTACTAACTAGCGTGGAATAGATGAAACTTGTACTGATACGATTTGATACTGTACTTTTCTTCGGCTATAAATCCTTTATGTTTGTTTTACTGTAATCACAAGATACAACGACAAGAATCATCTTCAGCACAGTGATCATATCAAAGATTCGGGCTAAAAACGGAACTTTGCTCGAAAGGCTCGAAAAGCACGAGTGCGGGTTCGAGTCCGTCCAAGGTCGGAATTATCCTCTTAACTCGTCTATCGTGTGTGAAGCAGGATCATAAATGCTCAGAAAAATGCTACTTAAGTCAAAAGGTTTCGAGTAGTATAAATACATTATCAGATAGAGATTATAAAACTAGGTGAAATCAAACCGGTATATCCTTAACCAGTATTTTCGGATTGTCGGTGTGGCTNGTTCCATCGCGATCAAATATTGTGAGCCATAAACGGGTGCGTGGCGCATTCCATAAAGGCCTGATAATTATCGATCACATTCCAATGTATGACACACATTCTTGAAACGTCTGATAAACATTATCAAGTTCGGATGGCAAAGGATTACGCGTAACCTCTGAGCTGTAAAGTTCGTGAAAAATGATCCCATTCTTATCACTTGTACACCTTATCAACACAGCATTCCTGGAACATTTTCTGTCGACAGACTCGTCAACGTCTGAAAATGCATATTTACTCAGAAGTGGTGAGTTTGAAAATCTAGTTTACAAGAATCAGTTCAATACTACAGATGTTTCTTTAAAGCGTAATGTAAGACTTGTTCTCTGGTAGGTAGCACCGGTTATACCCATTTTCCTACCTTATCCGTTAATTTTCTGGATGAAACCAGAAAAAAAAACAGATGAAGGGTTTACCACCAACTCCGTCCATGAAAAAGAACTGGGTGGCCTTTAGAAGGGTATTGCTCTAAGCCTGTGACAAGGATGTCCTATTGATTGGTATATGCTCCTGTGGTACGCGTATTTCGAAGATTCTATGTTAACCAGTTATACGGCTCATTTTACAGAAGATTGACGTGGCTGAAAATTTCATTGACAATTTATTGGTTTGTTTTAAGTGATTACTGATAATAGCTAAGTTTAACTTATCTTTTCCCAGCTTTTGATGTTGCGATTAAATGGCCTATGCAAATTTGAGTTTATATAATATTAGTCAATACTGAGCAAAGCCATCTGCTCAGATTACTTGTGAGCTTAGAAAAACTTGAAGTACACTTATTTATCTAGCCATTGGTTCAGGGACAGTAGTATCGATATTTATTGATTGAAGTGGCCGGNGTTTACAAGAATCAGTTCAATACTACAAATGTTTCTTTAAAGCGTAATGTAAGTCTTGTTCTCTGGTAGGTAGCACCGGTTATACCCATTTTCCTACCTTATCCGTTAATTTTCTGGATGAAACCAGAAAAAAAACAGATGAAGGGTTTACCACCAACTCCGTCCATGAAAAAGAACTGGGTGGCCTTTAGAAGGGTATTGCTCTAAGCCTGTGACAAGGATGTCCTATTGATTTATATATGCTCCTGTGGTACGCGTATTTCGAAGATTCTATGTTAACCAGTTATACGGGTCGTTTTACCGAAGATTGACGTGGCTAAAAATTCCATGACAATTTATTTGTTTCTTTAAGTGATTACTGATAATAGCTAAGTTTAACTTATCTTTTCCCAGCTTTCGATGATGCGATTAAATGGCCTATGCAAATTTGAACTTATATAATCTTAGTCAATACTGAACAAAGCCAACTGCTCAGATCACTTGTGAGCTTAGAAAAACTTGAAGTACACGTATTTATCTAGCCATTGGTTCAGGGACAGTAGTATCGATATTTATTGATTGAAGTGGCCGGGCGCTCATCCATCAACCGTAGTGGGTCGTCTGGAAAAATCGATTTGCTGAGGCATCTCCTAGAAGAAGCCACTGAGATCTGGCGAAACGTTCTTTTTCCCGAACGATGGCCTTTTGAAGTTGTTTCAAAGCCATCTTTCATTAAGTGTTTGTCATATTTTGGTGTCAACTTACTGTGAAAAGCATTCTCCCAGTTTATCACGGGTAACCAGTTGTCATGGAGCTTTTTGGCAGTACGCGTAGTCTGTATGTTTCGTGGGTTCCAGAAGTTCTTTACAAAAAAACAAATTTAGAGCTTTTTTTTTTATTTGTGGCATGTGGCACCGTTTTTTGACATCGATGCACTTGCGAAACTGAGCCATTTTATTTCATTTCTTCAACACAATCTATTCCCACTAAAAATAAACCCAGAAGCCAAACGATATCTGAATCTCTGTTCTTAACTAAATTATTCCGTTTTGATAAGAAGTGAAATGAAGTTAAAGATAAGATGGTCGTTTCCTAAATAATTCGTGTATCGAATATTTGTTTATTTATTCGTTTCTTTTGTACTCAGAGGGGATTGAAGGCCCCTGGATACTGATTGTATACAACACCTTTGTGTCCATGACATGTCTAAGAGTTGGGATGATCCTTACTGAAAATATCGGGTCAGATAGTTAAGCCCTAATATCCTTGATATCATTCAGCGCCACTCAAAAGTTCTCAAAACTTGCACACTGACTTTACTACTCAGTAATATCGCTGACGTACACTTCTTACTGGTATCAAGTTGCAACATCTTGTTGACCCTTCTGTCATCAAATCCGAGACTTTAGATAGCAGATGTAGATGTTGTAGATTTGCAGTGAACATAATATGTTTATGTTTTTACTTTTTGTTTTGACTAGTAAACTTCAGAGAGTACCCAGTATTCATCCAATACACGAAGAATTGAGATCGGGATGCGCCATAAATGTGCATGGAAGAACGAAGCTTGGAAAGGTCAGTTTTCAACCCAAGGCTTCCTGATTTTCTAGTGTTGGGATCGGATTTCATTGAAGCCTGGCCAATGCGTGTGGCAACGTCACCTTCTGACTTTTCCTTACTACTTACCGTCTTCGACAGAGATTTAGGTATAATTCCTATCTGTGAAGCGAGTTTTTCAGAAGTCACAGCTCACTGTCGAGCTGCTCAGCCGTTCATCTACAGTCATGTCCTTAGATTTTTATGCATTCAACGACGAAGTAGTAGCAACTTCATGTACTAATGATGAAATAGAAAAAATAGTAAGTTTCTTCTTCTAGGCTGTTTTTTTAGAATGAATTCAGAGAGTTCTTCTTTATTCAGAGATCATATCAGTACTATAGCTCATCTGCTGGCCGTTTTCATTTGCATATTTCCGTCAGCGATAGTTACTTTGATGTAAGTGCAATTTTAAACCTTTAATCCAAAAGTATCCTAAGAATCTGGTGCTACGAGATACTGATTTGATTTATAGCCTGATTTTAAAGATTGAGTTTAACGGAAGGTTCGTCGGTTGCTTCGTTCCGGCAGGTGATGTTCGGAGTGTCGAGGCAATTGGTATCAAAGGTGATATAAACGTGAATATAATGACAATTGAAGGATTCCCATTATTGAAAAGTAAGTCCAACTTCACGTTAAGTATAGTAGGCACTCACATCTAGTAATGTAACAATTTCCTGAGCTGGATATCATCTAGGTTGGAATACAGTTTGGCTTGAATGGACCAAAGACACATTCAAACAGTACGGGTATCCTCCTGTAGCAGGATCACAGGTAATATACCTGTTATTTGAGTGTTCTTGATCGTTTTCCGATTTGAAACAGGAGAAATTGATTCTGATAGAATTGATCAATCAGGAATTGACAAGTAATTTGGGTTTGTAGCAGTATTTAGGAGTTAAACTGATGAAATTCCAGACCAGCATAGATGGGGATTCATCCATTCCTGTTTCACGAAGTCGAAGCGAATCGGTATCAACGGAAGAGTGCACCATCACAATGATACACTTTAAACGATGAATATTTTGAAAATTTTTAGTGAAATAAAGAAATAATCAATCATTCTTTTGCTGTGCCCAAGTGTACTATGGCATTAAACTTGACAGATTTGCAGTACAGAGGATATTTTTAAAAAAAATTTGTCAAGTTTACACTGCAAAAGCTTGTCGTTCCAATAGTACTGCGTCATTTGTCGGTGTATTTACAATTATCACGGATTATTGGATAGGACAAAGATTTGTGGTGGATGAAGTGCCCTCTTGGAGGGCCATTCTAGAACAACAGATCATTAAAAAAGCTTCATTAACAGTAAGGTTGTATTCAAAACTTTTCATTGGAAAACAAACAGGCACCAATATTATCCCAAGAAACAAATACTAAACCATGTTTTTATCGTACTGTAATCAATTTAATTATTTGATTCTTTTCAAGAGATTTTTGATTCTTAGAGGTTACTGATCACCTGTCGAGGAAAGATCTACGGCCTCATTTTAGCTGAATGTAGGAATCTCACGATTCAAATTTGGTTTATTTTGAAAAAAAACGTGCTTTCATCTACATTCAGAACACTTCAACGGGTCTCTACAGATTTGTGCCCATCAATCTCAGACAGAGCTACGACAAAAAAATCAAAGAACATACCCACCACGAAGCCGAAGCCATACAAATTCCGCTAAAAAAGATCTTACTCGGGTCACTAAATTGGCCGAGATAAGGCCCCACATGCATCGTTGCATCTCTGATTCCCAAAGCGAAGGCGAAATCGTGCATGGTGGGCTCTACGTCTTATTCTCGTGGGCTTTGTGATCCATACGAATTCTTTATGTGATGACCAAGATGGTGATTACTCTTCAATTCTGTGCAACTCTTCAAAGTGAACAGAAGCTGTGGTAGTGCCCTC